TCTATGTGGGGGTCTTCGAGCTTTCATGCCACTTGCATACGTAAATATCTTAGCTTAGCATTAGCGTCTTTCATACCCCGCAACTCTATGCCTACCGACTCTAGCCCCTACATATGTGGTAAGGTATAAAACCTGTACCTCGTAAGATTTATAGTCGGTTAACTTGCAAGACCTAAGAACACGAAGCAAGCTATGCTACCTTAGGTAGCAAACGGGAGTGATATAAAAAACCAGGAGGGTATTGATTCAAAACTAAGTCTTGCACCTAGTTATGCAATTTTCATCTACCAAACTTCCAATCCAGGCTAGTAACCTATCGTATCGATAGAAATTGATCAGGTAGAAATTCCATGACACATAAACATCGCATTTCTCCAGGATCGATCCTCGCAAACTCCTTGCTTGCCCCTAAACGCCAACATGGTATCATAAGGTACAAGTAAACCCACCGAGCGCCTCGAAGAAAACTATAAAGTAAGAATAGAGAATGCCTAATTATTCATCCTCGACCTCTTCGTCCCAAGCCTGCCGCTCCTTCTTCATGAAATCAGCCATCATCTCCGGTTTGAAGATCGTACTGTCGGGATTCGACGAGCGGGGAACCTTGCCAAGAGCAGGGTCGCTAAACACCGGGCCAACAGCGTCGATCCATCGTTTTCGGCGTTCCATTAGAGTCTTGGTCACGTCGCCGATACCTGGTCGAGCCATACCCGTCCCGGAGCCTCCAGCCGGATGACTACCGCCGCCAGCACCACCCGGTCGCTTCGCTTTCTTACTCTTACCCATCGTGCGCGTCCGCTTAAGATACGCTCCCTGGACTTGCGTGTCGAGATCCTCAAGGATGGTGGTGTATTCCTGATGGGCCATCCTTTCTTTAACTAATTCGGTCAATCGGCTCTTGCGCGCGCCGTTGATAAGCATCTGTTCGCGTAAACGATCTTGCAAGAGGCGCAGGCGGGCGGCGACTTCATCATCATAGTGTCCATCATAATCGCCGTCGAAACCTTCCAGCGGAAGGAAACCGATATTACGAAGTTCTAGCTTGATGCGTTCGTCCACTTGCGAGTAATCTAACTTGGGGTGCGTGGCTTTCTTCCAGGCTTCGGTTGACGATTCGGTCATAAAGGTGGCTGGTGGTACGCTTTTACTCTCTTCACCTGCTATACCCAAATTAGAATCACCATTAGCCTCTTCCTTCATCTCGGCGTCTCCATTAACTCCGTTCGTCATCGGCTTATCTTCGGTCGGCTGCACGCGAGCTTCGGGACGCATAGCTTGTAGCAGTCGTGCTAAGACGGGACCGACCGATAACTTGTCGCTCTCTGCGACATCGTCGTCCATATTGTCGATAGTGCCACGTGCTTGATTGGGGGCGAGCTTATCCCTTCCTGGTGTACCCGAATCAATTGCCATAGCGCCGTCCTCTTCCGCCCATATCTCACTATAATGTCTTTTTCCTCGTTTAGGCATGACGAAAGGTGTAATTCGGTCGCCGCGCTCTCGTAGGAAAGCCAGGTCTTCCTCGATATACGGACGGAAGTACGGCTCGACGTAGGTCGAGAAGGTGCTAAAGCTGATCTGGTTCGACGGTTTGGCGCTGCTGAAATCTTTATCGGGCGGATCGCCCGCAATCATGTCGGCAAGGTCGGACTTGGGAAAGACAGCAACAGAATATAACTCTTTCAACTCGTCGATAGTCATTCCAGGTGTCGCTGGACGAATCTCATAAACCGTGGGGTCTGGGAAGGTCGATGGATCTTCGCCAAAGGTTTGAAATTGAGGAGCCTCTCGGCGGGGTGGAGCGCCTTCGTCCTCAGAGTCGGAATCATCTTCGACTTTGTTGTCAAGCTTCGCTTTCTCGTCCACTTCCATCGCGCCGGGTGTTGCGGGTGCGACGGGTGAAAGCGAAGAACTAGCCGAATCGTTGTCTCGTGAGTGTTTTCTCGATTTGCTAGAGCCGCGTAGGGGAGATGAACGTTCTTAGTTGAAATTATTAGCGTGGGCTAGTAATCTTGGGGCTGAAAGGTGATAGTCCAAATTGAAATTAAGGACAGAATTGCTAAACGTGTTTCTTGAAGAGTGGGGGGACATGAATCAACGTTAAGAAAAAAATTGTTGTAGTCGCGCGACGTGGACAAAAAAAAAAAAAAAAAGAATATATGTGCAATACGAGGGTTTGTGAATTACACCACGAGTATTGCTTCCCAACTGTAGTAGTTTTACGAGCCAGGCAATAATGTAGATGTCATGTAGATATCATGTAGATGGTCTGTAGATGCCACTCACCAGTATGCGCATCTCCAGGGGCAAGACTGTCATTGCCCTTTCTCTTCTTCTTGTTTGCTCTTCTTTCCGAATCATCATCACCTTCTCTACGCGCATCATCTCTTCTACCAGTAGAAGCCATCTCGTCATAATGTGTCTTTCTCTGAGCAGCGACAAGTCGCATTCCTTTGTCGCACCATGTTCCTCGGCGTTCAACTATTTCGTTGAGCTTTCCCAGCCGCGTAATTAGGCCATCGAGACTTTTGGAATCGGGGATGACGGCATTCGAGGTGGTGGTATCAATTAGGTCATCGTAGGTTATAGTACGGACTGATTCTAATCTAAGGTCTAAGAATTCGGTTTCTATAATATCAACAGGTGGGATGCTCGCGTTGGACGGCAGGCTGGACATAGGCGTCGTATTTCGACTACGCTTTCCGATGGCACCAGCATTCTTCTTGCCGGTACCCTTTTGGCTAGGGTTTGGAGGCATATTTATGGGGGAGTATAACGGCGGAAGAATAGAGAGTAGTGAGAATGTGAAGTAATTAATGTGAAGTTGGACGTCGTTGGACAGTCGTTAGACATTGGTTGGATGGTTGATGGTTGGATGCTCCATCGGTTGATGCTTACTTGATCAATTACCAAGGCGCTGGTCTTGGCCGAAACTAAAGCTTTGATACGTTATACACGTGCATTTGTGGGGTTATCCAAGATTAGACACCACCTAACGGATCCGTACCGTTTGCGGCTGAACGAAATCCCATATCCCATAAAGTTAAATGACGTAATCAGGGGGAACTCAGGTACATATGTACCTTGGGTATATTATGTAGGTAGCTGCTGCTGCCTTACGGATATATCATTAGGTTAGTCATCTCCAATCACATTTCTTACTTTGCTAAGCTGAAAACGAAATCCCTTGATACGTTACCATAATATCACACCAATTCGCTTGTTACATTGTGACCCCTGGACCCTTGGTATTTCCGAGATAGTGTCCGTGACGGCGTATTTAATCGTGGTATTAGAGCTGCACCAATAAATATCGTCAAATATTTTAATTTTTAGACCGACGAGCAGGTTGGTGGGCATTGTTCTTTACTTGTATTTAACCTATACTATCTTAGAAATCATCACAAGTCTGAAACAGCCAGCCTTATACTATAGGAACTAGCTAGTATTCACTCTAATACAAGTTACTTGAGACGATTTGCCGGGCTGGACGGCTTACTCGAATGTTTGGGTAGTTTAAGCGATCGCCATGCATACGCCTACTGATAAGAAACGTGGCCTTAGTAACATATCTCGTCCCCTGAAAAAGACTCGTAATCATCTACAACAAAGCAACATCTAGAAAACTCCATTAAGCATTATATCTCACTGCCGTGCCTTGTCTAAGAAGTCCTAAAAATGAAGTCTGGGAATCATTATACAAATTGTGCAAAATTTGCCTTAAAGAAAATCCGCTAGGATTTTCGTATTTACATTGTCAACTATAGGCTGGGCAAACCATGAGTTAGTTACCATAAAGTCTCCTTATGATATCGATCCTCTTCCGTAAATCGGATAGAAATTCTGCATCATCTATAGGATGCCTCCTACCATATCTTATTTTCAGGTCCTCTTCGGTATTTTCCCGGCTTATTAAATAGGCGTCTCCGTAATCGTGGGAAGCAAGTAATCCCTCAAACTAGAAGCTTCGGTCCTCTACTCGGAAATAGTTTCTAAGTCCAGAAACTATAGCCTTCGGAAAGTCCTGGCTTATCTTAACCCTGGTTCTTTTCTTTTGTTCGAGCCTACCTCGTACGAATTTCTTTAAGATAACAGGTTTCTATTAGTTATGTCGAACGGTGAGTAAACTAGGTAGCAGCCGTGTACAACATTTTGTCCGCCAGGCTCGAAAACAGACGGAAGGAAAAAGAAAGTTCTCACAAATCTAACGGTAATGTAACGATGGGAGGTATAATTAGATTTCTTATCAATCAAGCCTTACTAATTTCAGGGGTTGCCGCGTAGCTGGTCCCAGTCTTTCAGCCCACCATGAGATGCTTAGGGGTAGTTTAAGATTCAACGAGAAGCATTTAACAATACCTCTTGTATGATACGTGACTCTAGGACTCTCCGGGGTAATTTGACTGGCATCTGCAGGGGCATCTCACCGTATTATGTACGTCACGTCCTCGCTGTACCGTTTCAAGAAAAATTTGCCCCTGGTTGATGACGTCTTATTTCTAACGCAATAGTTTCCCCAATGTGCAATTTCCAAACTCATGCAGCACAGGTCTTAGCCCAAACACCAAGAGCGGTCAAGCTAGGTATAAGCATAACCTTACTTATGTTCACCACGATGAATGAATTCCCATATCAGGCAAGTGGATCACTTTGGCGGCCCCACCGTGCTCCGCGAATCTACCGGCCCGTACGGATATTACGGAGACTATATTGGTCATCATAAGGGATACATTATTTGAGTTGGTGTGCACGAATCTTGTTCCTTAAATTGGTAATATCTTTTACATATCGAACGTCGGGGCCGAATTCCGAGCTGAATGAGGTTGGGGTTATATCGGATACCTAGTCTGAAAGGACTTATGACATATCAGTAACGTTTACCTCCTTCCATGCTAGTGCCGTTACATTATCGGTATACGTGTTCCATGCTCTCGTGCTTACTCTCCAACTTTAGTGGTAAAGAGCCGCGCTAGTTACCATTCCCGGTACCGGTAACCTTTAAATGGCGGCTCTGTTTGGACAGGCTGGTGCTTAGGACACAAAATACTTGCCACCGATCCCCGGAAAACTTTTCCTGTGAAACTACACCAATACCCCTTTACACACTTCTTGTAGCCTACCATAACGCTCAAGCCCTAGTAACAGCCCGGTCGTTCTAATGTTGTGAAGAAACAGGAGAGCCGGGAACAAGCATAAGTAAGGCCGAAGTGCTTTATAGAGCTATGGCAGAAGAGATTGCTTTCTGGCTGTGATACGATCGTGTTTGTTCATTGGATACTTAAATGTTTTCTGATTGCCACGTCTAGCAGGCTATGAGGTCGCACATGCAGGAGTTTTAAATCGGCCATATGCGTTGAAACCTATCATATCTACCGCTACGGGCCGGGAAGGCCGTGCTTGCGCCACAGCGTTGTTTTCTATTATAGTGAGAGATATCGGGTCGGATTGCCTGCTACCCCTGAAATGAACCGCATCTTCCCAAGAGCAGGTAAAAGCGACGGCACCAAGTAACATGGGGTTGGAGAAGAGTAAGGCAACATCCAGCGAATTTACGACCATACATACTTCAGCATACTTCAGCTGAGATACATGCAATGAGCTTTCAGCCCTATACCGATCATACGTGCAAGAATTAGGATTCCCGTAGTTCTGATTAGACACTACTGAAATTACTCCATATTTTGTCTTTGGAAACCTAGGTCTTTAACATGAATACTTCTGAAGGAACATTGAGACTGAATCTTGAAAATGTTTGGAATAAGACTTTAGGTGTATTCTACCGACAAAATCCCCGATGCTTGTATTCATAATCTTGAATATAAAAATGGCTCCATACCTGTGCTCTGGTTATGAAAATATACTCCATGGAGCTTAATCCCTTATTCCGATACCGTTTATCCTTCTAGCTCACTATGTCGTCTGTAAACAGCCTAAGCGAGGATAATTCTCTAGCCAAGTAAGCAGTTGAAATAGTGGCGCCTCTATTAAATATAGCCTTGTAAACTTGATGGTCATAACTAATAGTGTTATAGCCACGCCGGGAGTCAACCTGCAGCTTCTGGTCAGAATCCCCAAGTTTCTCCGAACGAACCAATTCACCCACGCCTGGATGACTTTATCAAAGAGCCACTTGACTCTGGAAATAGGAACGTCATGCTTCCTGACAGAAATACCAACGTGGAATTGGCCGTTAAAGATTCCCAAGAGCGGATGGAGAAGGATATCGAAAACACAGCTAAACCGCTAGGGAAACCGGAAAGTCAGCAATAGTGCCCCCTTTAACACGTTAACTAGCATTGGCTAACTATAGAAAAAGCGATTGATACCCCTAAACCGGCTCAACAGGGAGATAGCTCAGACAAATAAAAACATATTGAAATAAGCTAAGAAACAATTTTCACTATGGTTTTGTTCTGAATTTCTCCACATTCGATACATCTCTTATACACGAACTACAGCAAACGATGGTACATATCGCAATATACTAGATATGTCCTATAGATTTCATACGTTATCAAACCCCGGGCTTTAGAATATTATATTATATCTTCAACAAATAGGAGTATACTTCCATGTACGATAGACCTCCATACTAGGCCAATCGAGACGGAAAAGGAGCGCGCAGGTATACTGCCTGGTGGTACAATCATAGATAGGTGGTACATAGTTCTATGTGTAACAGCCCAATTTAACTTCAATATAATACTTATACACCTTAACTATATTCATGTTATATATAGAACTTGGTGGTTCTAGTTTTAGCTAACCCTACGTTTTTATCACGACATCGGTACTGTAAAAACAGAAGTTTGGCTTCATTGCCATATGTGTAAATTATGTTCAGAACTACCTCATGTCTCCTCCTTACTATTTGTGGTACGGTTATAAGGATGTGAGTAGGAAATAGAAGCATAATTCAGCTATGGGAAAAACGACAAACATACCTGTACTGTCTGCCATAGCTATAAGCTGCTGGTCTAAGATGTTTTCTATCATATACTATTGCGCCACGTTAACAAACGAAAGAATCTTGCGCATATACTAAATATAATTAAGATCATAAGCTCTCCGACTCTTGATAGTTTGTTTGTGGCAATGTATCATTTACTCAAGACTTTAGGTATATCAGCTAACAGGTTGAAACTTTTAAAGGTACCTAGCCAGCCTATCCGCAGGCTGGGTACCTATAGAGACATTCAAGTCTGCAAACTGCCTGTAAGTTTATAAAGCAAATATCTAATAGTATCATAATTGATTATACTTGTCGTAATAGATGTGATTGCCGTAAGGAGTAAGTGTGCGGAGGGTATTTTCCGAACATATGCCGTTACAGCTATCATTCAGCCGTAATATGTTACAATCTCCACGCATATTCCGGGGATTGAGCTGAATAGTCCCGGTGGGCCGGCATATCTAATACAAGTGTAAAACACCAAGCCTAAATAGATGAGAAAATGCGGAGGCATTCCCCTTACACAGAGGCAGCCATCAATTAAAAGGAATTAGTTGGTAGGTACAAAATGGGAGGATCTTTCTCCTATTCTGTGCTGTTTTAGTCTTAGTAACGGTCTTGTGAAGTACTAGATATCCTATACACTACGAGATGTCATTCAAACTTCTGTACGTTGGCCTGGTAGGCTGTCTGCTAACCGGGGTATCTGTCGCTCAAAGCTCTGAGGAACATCCTCCCCTAACGACATGGAAATGCACCACATCAGGAGGCTGCGTTCAGCAGAATACCTCTGTCGTGCTAGACAAGGATTCTAAGTATGCCCAAGGTTCTGCCGGCTCAAGAACAGCAGCTGATTATGCTGCTATGGGAGTTTCTACCTCGGATGACGCTGTGACGCTGTATCACTACGTCAACTCGGGCAGCACGCTCAATCCCGCGTCCCCGCGCATCTACCTTCTGGACGCCGAGGGAGAATACGTCATGATGAACCTTCTCAACCAGGAGCTTTCCGTGGATGTCGACTACTCGGCCGTCCCCTGCGGAGAGAATGGAGCGTTCTATCTCTCGGAGATGAAGGCCGACGGCGGGGGGTCCTCGGGCGGCGCCGCAGCCGGCCAAGGCTACTGCGACGCCCAATGCCAGGGCTACTGCTGCAACGAGATGGATATCCTCGAGGCCAACGCGAAGGCTACGGCAATGACGCCGCACCCGTGCAGCGGGGACAACTGCGACAAAGCCGGCTGTGGGTACAATCCCTACGCGGCCGGCCAGCGTAACCTCTGGGCAACTGGAGGGTCTGTCGACACGAGCAAGCCGTTCACAGTTGTGACACAGTTCGTTGGTAGTGGCACGTTGACGCAAATAACCCGCACCTACATCCAGAATGGGAAGCAGGTCAATGGCGGTTCCATTGGCAGCTGCAACGACGGGGCTGGTGGGCTTTCTGGTATGGGCCAAGCTCTAGGACGAGGGAGTGAGTAACAACCGTATTCTTGAAGCGTACCTATATATGGCTGACTTATACCTCACAGTGGTATTGGCGATGAGTATCTGGAACGACGCGGCACAGCAGATGTCCTGGCTAGACGCTGGTAACAATGGACCTTGCAACATTCAAGAGAGTACTCCCTCCAACATTCAGGCTCAGCATCCCGACACCCATGTTACCTTTTCTAATATTCGGTGGGGTGACATCGGATCTACCACTAAGGGTTAGACTTGGGTATTGGTTGGCTATATTTTCCCCTTCGCTATGAGTGATACTATGTCATATATATTCGATATTGCATTAGTTGACGAGAGGAAGTCCTTTTTGATAGATCCTTGTTGACAAGATTCCCCTTAAATTTCCTATATAAAAGTGTACCTATCCCTCATTTAGAACTATCGGCCTCGGGGAGTTAGTTTCTTTCCGAGGAAAGGTAGAGAGAGTATAGCGTAGGTTAGACTTGTCACCGCGTCAAACGTAAAAGGCGTATTCGCGTTCGTACTCGAGAAAGGAAATGATTTAATTCTAACACTAACATCAAACGCCTTTAACAACAATTAAATTAAAACTTCTATGCGAGGTAGCATTGCTAAGCCGTATTAATGACTCACAAGTATATTTTTCTGGGATTATCTGTTTAATGAGCGACTCTTGTAAAAGTTGTTTCTTTTCAACTGTATTATGATGCGATTATAAGCGCACTAGACATGCTTTAAACGCACTAACATTCGTCAAACGGGGCCTCAACTCTGAAAATATCACGTGCATGCGCGGAAGACTCGGGTTGGTTCTATGTATTGACTACGCGTCGTAGACGCGTCTTGTATATTTAACGAGTAGTTGTCTTCTTATTTTATGATTATCTTCCTTTGTATCTAACTTTGCTATAGTATCTCTTGGGTTGTCTTATACTTTGTTTACCTGTATCATCGTCTATTATAGGGCTTAGTATATATAACCCATATTTTTTTTCTTCTTCTATGGCTTCTCCTAAGACTCAGTATCATCCTCTCCAATGGAGGAAGTCCCCGCATGGGACCTGGGAGCGGGAGATCGACGAATGCGAGGAGTTCTATAACTCATCCATCAGGGACGGAGAAGGTTGCTATCCGGTTACCAGCTGCGCATCTTTTATAATTAGGACCTCTGATACTGTAACAACTGAAGAAGACGAAGATCGTCGCATTGAAAACGCTTTTCGGAAAGCTTGGACAATTCTTCACCACGATCACCCGACCTTGCGATCTCGTGTCGAGCGTAGTGAGGACGGTATCCGATGGAAAAGAGTATATTCCACATTCGAGGACGAGGAAGAAGAGAAGCGATGGTTAGACTCGACGTTCAAAGCTATCGATGCTGAAGGGGCGCCATTGCAATGGTTCAATAACACATCTGCCCCGTTTAAGATTTCAACCTTGTTTCTCGTCAAGCCCAAAGAGAAGAACAATTATCACAGGCATCTTTTCTTACGGAGTCCCCATGATATTACAGATGGAGTTGGTGTTCTCCAGCTACTCAATAACCTATTCAAGCACGCCGCTCTCGCTTATGAAGAAGGGGCTCGGTATACTCTACCAGCGTGGGGCAATGAACATGAAAGACTTTCCCCATGCCTTCGGCTTGTTACAGAAACTCCAAGGTCGTTTACTGAATCCCAAATCAAGCGTTTCGAAGAGATTCAGACCCAAAATGGGATTATCTACACTCATCCCGGTCTCCTTAGCCTACCTTTAAGTTCTAACCCTACCACTTCACAGCATGGGAAGAGGCAACGCGTCGCACTATCGGTTTCCAAAGCTACTACGGAGAACATTCTTCGTAGCTGCAAAACCATCGCTCCTGGAGTGAGCGTTACTCATGTCTTCACGTCAGCTTTGGCATTAGCCCTCTCCGAATTGCAACCTCGCAAAGAACAATCGTACGCTGTTCGCTACGCCAATCAGAGTATGGTCAATCTACGCCCACATTGCCGCCATCCCTACAACACGCCTGAGCATGCAGCTGCTGCGTATCATACCGTCTCTGCGCAGGCGCTGGGCGTAGATTTAGTCGTTCCGGCTTCAACGGACACAGGGAGTGAGAGGAACGTAGATCAATTGTCTACAATTGCGATCAAAGTACGGGATTACTTCAACACCGTTCGCCCCGTCTCCCCTAGCGATGAAAACATCATATTTGCCCCAATGGTATTCAAAAGTCTTACGGCTCCGCCGGGTTTGGATCCTCATGCTGTATCGGAAACTCCTTTCTGCCCAGTGCCGCTTTCCTCGATCGGCAATATTGCTTCGATTGTGTCACCAAAACATGGCCCCTTCGAGCTGTCAAGTGTCTGGGCAGCTAGCGAACCAATCGGCGCTGGTGTAGCTGTGTTTCTGGCGACTTGGGACGGAAACATTGAGCTTTCTGGAGTGTTTGATACACGATATCACAATGCCGACTACGTTGAGAAGTTCTTGGGATACATTCTGAACTGTGCCCTCGAAGGTCTAGGCATCAATTGGAATTTATGATAATCTTGATTAGATCATGCCTATTATAAATCCCTATGAATAGAAAGAGTATATCCTACAAATTGTCCAAGTTCAAAACGCAACTCTTCCATTCTATAAGAGGTACCTATCAACTATTGGATTCTTATTCCACCTTTGAGATCTTGAACCCTCCTGGAACTCTGGTTTGGAAAACCCCCGTGGGGTCGTACTTCGCCGCGGCCTCTTTCATCTTCTTGATATTTTCCTCTCCGTAGGTGCTGAAAGGGTTCTGCGACCCGTCGCAATAGTTTAGGTATAAGAACCCGATATCACCGTTAAGTGACTTAGCGTACGATTCTATCTCGGCAATGGCTGCCTTTAGAGTAGGAAATCCGACCCGAGATGATATTTCGGGGGTTTCAACCTCGACAGCTGCTACCAAAAGGACGCAGTCATCCTGTAAACGCTCAATCCCAAACATATTACCGCCCCGGGCCACGGAGTGGCGTGCAAATGACGTTGGCAGCGGTTGCAATACCATCGAGATGTAAAAGTTCCCATCGGGAATCTGCTTCTTCAGTTCCTCAGCCAAACTTTCGAATACTTCGGTCGCCTTCTTGATGATCCTAGCGTCAAGTTTGAAGGTAAGTGTAAACCAAGTATCACTAATGACATATATTAGTCGATTAATCATAATATAAACAGAATAACAACATTGCTAATTCATAGCTTTTGACTTACTGCTTGCCTGAAGGTACCAGGAAGTCGACTAGCTTTTTGGCTACTGTAGTCGTTGTCATGTTCCCCTGACCACCTGGGATCGCCAAGAACTTTTGCAAGGATTTACTGTTCTCAACGCCATCGAGATTGGTCAATACCATAGTGATGAAATGATCTTTTGTCCGAGGTAGAATTGTCCACATCGCTAGGATATGATCATCTGGGTTCAACGCAAGATTCTTCGTGAAGTCAACGAACGCTTCAACGAGCCTATCGGTAGCCGATTTAGGAAAGGTAATATTCCCATCCCAGATATTGCTTGCATTAAATGTTGTCATATCAAATCGGGTGACTATGCCAAAATTATTGGAGCCGCCTTTCAATACTAAGAAGAGATCTGGATTTGTTTCCTTATTGGCCTCGACAACACTACCGTCAGCCAAGACGACTTCATAATTAATGACCTGATCTAAAATGGCACTGTTAGCGAATTCTGCTCCGGTTCCAATTACCAAATAATCTATAGAAATAGAATGGTAGGAAGACACATACCGCACGCGAACCCATAGCGACAGGTATAAAAAGTCTTGCCGCCACCAGTTAGAAGACCTCCAACGCCAACCAGGCCTTCTCTACCACCAGCAACCATGGCTCTATCTACAATTTTCTTATCAGTTTTGAATTTTTCAACACGAGAAGATTCTTAAGATGTCTTACGCTTTTCGAGCTCCGTATACACGTCTGCCCACCTGCTGCCTGGTTGAATAGATGCGATCTTAGTCTCTGGGTTATAAGTCGTCGTTGTCATAAGACCGAGATCGATAGTAATACCGGCTTCAATATTATTAGAGCCAGCCCACGCCATATGGCCTCCACTATCCCACAAACTTGTGTCAGTATTACGGTACTTTAGGTCTTTCTGATCAATGCACCTCCTCTGCAGGGCTTTTTCTAACCTTCGAATCGCGAAATTACAGCCAGTAGTGTTAACCAGGGTCTGCAGGGCCTTGGAAACTTCTTTCGTATTTCGAGGCTGAATGATAGCCCACGGCTTTAGTTGTGCGGTAAGAGACCAGTACGAGGCAATCCGTTCTTCGTAAGACTTTTGCTCGGGCTTATACAAGATACCCCCTAACCCGGCCTTCTCCAGGTTGGCGATCGCGGATCGTGAAATGTCAGGCATTTTTTAGATTATTGATTAGATATTTACAACTATCTATTGCTCATGAAGTTGTTTAGGGTAGGGATTTGTAGGCGAATATCGTTCAGGAAAGGGGTCAATTCTCCAGTAAAGCGAACAGGTCGTGTAAGAGAACAAGGGTCCTAGGAAGTGATTAACAAGGAATTGTTCGAGGACCCATCAACATATATACAGAAACAATTATAACACGGTAAGAGCCCACAGAATCTGAGAATATGACCCTCATTCTAGTCTAGCCAAGAATACTAAAGCATCACCATGCAACGCCTTAGTCTTACTTGAGCTTTATCGTACCAGCAGCCAATTACATAGCAGTTCGCACGTGTATACGATACAACCAATTGAATAGCGATGATGTAAGAGGTAGTGGAAATAACTCAACATGATTCTATATCGTCCAATCGAAGCAACGGCATCAATGTGATCACCTACCTTAAAGTTCAGCTCACCCCCTAAATAAGGCGACTGGAAGCCTGCTGATGATATTCGTAGCGCAACATCTCTAATAGATCACTTACGAATATCTAGAAGGTAGAAATAAAGCGTGCTAATAATAGGATATGAGTACAAATACACCTGTTACCTATTTCAAGAACTTTTAAGGCATCCCAATATCAACACTATACGATGAAAATCCTTTCGATCCCAAATGACACCCGTATCAAGATAGTACACTTTGATAATTCATTTATACGTATTGCCTACGAAATATACTCACATGAATATTGCATAAACATATTCACCAAGTCTCCCTTCGTTTAAATACCTAGTGTACAAACACTCCAAGAGACCACTATTACAACTTCGTCCGACATAACGACTCAAGAAAGCTACTAACGACTTTACAAGATGCCTTTAAATGGTACTTTAAAGCCAAGCTCGCTTTATATAGCATTGGACTCACGTCCATTCAATGATGAATACGTAAGCAATCTAGACATAATATGGGCTGCCTTCATACCCCAGATTTCACTAAATAGGAGAATAGCATTGGGCCCTCGTAACAACGGATCATTCACGCCGCGCCACGCTACGACATGCCTCCAATTTGAGCGGGACATGGAAGCGCGAAGAAAAGGACTTTCGCCCGGATGAGCGAATGATGCTCATCGCTTTAGTCAAGGTCGCGAATATATCCGACCCGGAAAAAATGATCGAGGCAACACGTAGCGTGCCAGTTGACGGACTCCCTTCGCGTCGGACGGGAAGAGATTTCAACTGCCTGACTTGGCTTTTAGACGCAATTGTGGCCCTTGACGGCCAAGCTATAATTTCGCTTCCTTGTGATATCGGTATGGACCGCCCAAGACTTTATCTTATACGGGCAATCGAAGCTTATCATCAACAGATACGTTGGAGCAAATTGCCAGGAATTGCGCTGCTCGCTATGCAGAGGCCGCCGAGACAGGACGTGGCGCAACTGTTGTTGACGATCCCTTGCTTGACAAACCGCCTACCAGTGCCGACTAGGGGAGGCGTTAGGTGTAGGCTCAATTATCGGTTAACCACACATAACATGTCACGGATTAAGAGTGAATAAATGTTCCAAGACGTTTGTGATATACCTTACAGGCGCTTGCATATATACCTCCGAGGACGAAATAGCTAGGCTTTTGGCAGCTTACTCTAATCGGAAACTTGTTAACACTATCCAGACAAACACGACGACGATGTTCATCTCAAAGACTACCTCTTATTATGAATCACTTCAATCTTATATTTCCTTGTGGTTTGCCAACCTTGAACTGTCACGCCTGATTAAGGACTAGAAGTATCGTACACGATGACTTAACCTGTATCACCAGCTACCTAATGACTACCGAAGTTGCTCACGTCGTGATACCTCAGCCTTAACTGAATACTATATAAACGGCCTCTGTTCTTCCATAGAATTTCCCCATCAGCTCAACCTCATATAAAACCACACGCCCAGAAATAATCTCTAAATTCATAGAATATTTATACGTCAGCGCGAACGGCAACTTCCGCTTTTACCAGTACTTTCATTCAGGGGTAAAAACACCATGTCTTACGCTGGTTCCGACACCTCTAGGGAGGACCCTGTGAGTGATGACTCTGCTGACAACAGCAGCAGCGAAAGCGACGAAACTGATTCGTCTTCCCAGGAGAAACCAGAGGCGGATTCCGACGTGCCCATGGACGACGCCAATGACGCCGATAATGAACAATCATCTTCCGATAACGACGACTCTCATAGCGTATACGACTCTCCCGAAGAGGATACAGAGGGGGAAATCGTCCAGTGTGAGGAATGCCACTGCTGGCTGCGTGAAGGCCAGAGTCATGTCTGTGAGCCGGAAGAGAAGGATAGGTACGCTTGAACTTACCTATTTCTGCCCTGGTTTTCTTTTCCTTTTTGCGATAAAGTTGAGATGAGGTGCTTACAACTCATTGCGGAGGGTCACTTGATTTGTATTCACTTGATTTGTATTTGACGCTGGTGATTAAAAGCGCCTATTGGCCTGCATAAGGCCAAGTCGATGAATGAAATCATTTGCCCTAAGTTTACGAAGGGTTATTGTGTCGCATTTTTTTTTTCGCTGGGGACCCACATCACCTTCCTATTTAGCCCAAATAGGAAAATAAGACTACTAGAAATAGAAGTGCCCTGGTTATTTTTACATGTGTTAATTGGGTGCCTCGTTTAATAAAATGGATTTTGGCCGAGATTTAATTAGATACCTCGTTTAATAAGGTGGGTTTTTAGCTAAGATTTAATTGGGTGCATCTTGTAATAAAATGGGTTTTCGTCGAGATTTCGATAAAAGCTGCTTATGTAATAGGATTGGATTAGTTACTGCCACACAACCTGCCACAGCCACGTAATAAGCCATAGCTACGGCCACAGCTACGGCCATATAATCTGCCACAGCTACGTAATTAGCTATAAGGCTTTTAACCTGGCGTTATTGCAGCTTTCGGCCGCAATAACGCTAATAAAGGATTAACGAAACAGTTGCGCGCCGCGCTTTTGCCTGCGTAGTAATGCGTAAAAGAAAGGGAGGGATACGAGGTTGAGGATTTGAATCGTAGACCTAATCTTGGGATGGTGTGGCTAGGGGAGGTTGTGTGTGGTTAAGGGGGGTTATGTGTGGCTAGGGGGGGTTGTGTGTGGCTAGGGGGGGTTGTGTGTGGCTAGGGGGGGTTGTTGTCTGGCTTATATGGCCGCCCGCCGAGCCGCGGGGGGTCACGGGTGCAAGGCACATGCAAAACACGTGCCGAGCGCCCGTAACCCCCAGCACGGCAAGGCAAGGCGGCTATATTAAGGATTTAACCAATCAAATCAATCGGTTGGCCTGGCAACCTGGCTTTATTCGTAAACTTAAGGCTATTGTGCAAGCCAATGGGGTTGCCTCTTGTATTAAACGAAGTTGCAGCTCGTGAGCGAGCTTTAAATCATTATGTAATCGATGACTTTTGCTGGAATATGTGGGGCTAGTAAATCAAGTGGTTGGTAATACGCTTTACACCCATGGCTTATATATAATAAATATGCTTATTTAATCCTTTTAATAAATAATAAAATAATATAAAATATATATATTTTATAACTTACATTTAATTTTAATAAATTATAAGCTTGGAATTTATAATTTAAATTATATAAACAATTATTTTATTATTTAATAATTTATTTATTTTATTTATTTAAAATATATTTATTTTAAATTATTACGATTTTTATTACGTAATTAAATAAAAAGCGGTTTTATTTTTTTAAAAATCCTTTTTTTTTAATATTTAAAAAAATGGATTATTAAAAATAATAACGTTAAAATTATAATAACGAAAAATTTTTAATTTTTTTATATAATTTTTTTATTATTAACTTTAATAAAATTATATATATAAGATTATTTTTAAATTAAAACGTTTAATTAATTAATAATAATATTAAAATTTATTTTATTTTAATAAATATATATTATAATTATATTAAAGTTTTTAATAATATTAAAATTAATAATATAAAATTATAAAATATAAAATAAAATTAATATTATTTTAATAATAAATTTTAATTATTATTTATTAATAAAAT